GTCATTGTTTTTTTGTTGGTGGTTAATCAGATGGAGGTGATGAAGATCAAAGTTGATGATGTAATTGTTCACAATTTATTTGTTTGTGGTAGGCTAATAGTTTTATGTTATTTGAATATTCGCTTCTTACACAAATTCTAGTTATTGTCGTTGTTCGATATTCTAAATCTCTTAAAACATTTTTAGAAGGTAAGTTATATGAATTTTCATTTGTTTATAAGAATAGTTAATTTTCATTCCATATCATTATATAATTTGTTTTTAAGAGATTTTATTCAATACGGGAAGAATTGCAAAGTGGGTGTTTCAAGCAGAAAATTTGGAAGTTGGTAGTGATTAAAGCAAAATTCTCTTCACGTCTTGAAAACTCATATGTGCTACAAATGTTCAAAAATGTGAATCATTCAATTACATCATTGGAAATACAAGTTATGTTAAATTTGCATTCCATCTCGTTAAATACAAGTGAATACTGGTTTTTCTTGGGATATTCAAGCTGGAGTAATGAGCATTTGTTTGATGAAATTGGTCTTGGAGTATGGGATGTTGATAACAATGAGATTGTCTTTGCTTGGCCTTGAAAGCTTATGCATATTTCTTGGATCTCTTTAAATGTTTTAGAAAGAAGAAAACCTTCAAAGTTGAAAAAGAATAGAAGATTAGTGAAATCCATATTGTGGGAAGGAATGTCTGTTAACCGTAAGAACAACATGTTAATTTGTCTTTCTTTACATAGTTTTTTCTTCTTCTCATGATGTTATAACAACTTTATATAACAATTATGAAGAAAAAGACTTGTGGATATATATAATAACGGATAAGATATGCTGACATTTGTTTGGTTCAGAAGATAAGAGATGCTAAGTAATAGTCTAACCAATACAAAGATGTTATGCAATAGTCTAACCAATACAAAAACAGAAACAAGTAATCATAGTACAGACTATTTGTATCATGGGGGCGCAAGCGAGCTCCAAAGGCAAGTATTTCCTGCTAGAGATGTCAATTTAGGTTGTGAATCGGGCTTACGAGCTAAGACGATCGCGAAGTTTTGCTCCTTGCTTCAATAAGTGTCCACTTGTAATCAATGTCTTCGGGAATGACCATCACTACCTGTGGTACACGAAACCTGATTTGTTGCTGAAAAATCCAAGACACGGTCTCGGAAATGATCCGTTTGTCGGCTGCGTCTTTTGTCCCGCGACATGGAACGTCAAAAATATGGATTTTAGGAAAAATCTTGTTCGAATCGAGGTTAGTTTTGTCGCCAAAGCCAAAGATTTCGACACCACATTTGTATCCCAATTTGCTGAAAAAATGTTGTGATACTTGGTGCAACTTTGCTCCTATCATTTTCTTTTGGGGCGTTACAAATTTTAAAGTCCCAAAACACTCGGATATTCACCATGGTGTTGTCCACTTTGACGGTGAGACACTGAAAGAATGTTATGAGAAACATATTAAACATATAAATCTATATCTTGGTGGTGGTGATGTAAAATCAAAAGATATGTCTTGGTGGTGGTGATGTAAAATCAAAAGATATGTTTTACCTTGATAATGTAATGATGATTTTATTCAATTTCTTGTGGATGACAGTATCTGGCATTAACAAACACATACACTCACATAAACACAAAAAAAATTATTAATTGTCATTTGACATACATGAAAGACAAAAGAAGATTTATTGACTATAAAATTGAGACATACATGAAAGACAATAGAAAATTATTAAGTTACATGAGAGACGAATACAATATGACAAGTGGCATATATATGAATGTAATCCAAACAAAATCATGTAACTGTTCAAAAAGAATTATTAGCAATTGATTAAATTGAAGAAGCAAAGACATGAAAGACTAGTTTCGGGGATGATATCAGATGATTTCTCCGTAAATAGTCTACCAATTTGGATGCAATCCAAAAGTTTTCTCTTCGGAACCAAATGATCTTCAATGCGAGGATGTGGGAAAAAATCGAAGAAAAATTGTGAAATCACAACCAAATCACTTTGGGTGATTCCATCGACATGTTTAGCAACATATTCTTGATCTGGTTTCCTACAAAACAAAGCTCCGCAGTAGAAAATGTTACTCAATCCATCGCCAATTTCATGAACCGGAGGCTCCAAAATATTTTTACTGTTTAGAAAAATAAGGTTATTAGTTATTACCATTT